GAGATTCCCCATCTTTAGCAGATAATGTCCAAGTTATTCTTTTTATGGAAAACTGCAAACAAAAACACAACCTAAACAGGAATGCTGATACCAAAAGGACTAAACAAGTAACACACAATAGTGTTTTATATATATGTGTGTGTGTGTGTGTGTGCGCGTGTGTGCGCGCATTCATATTCCTGGAAAAATATGCATACAGGTGAATAAAGCAATGCATACAAATTGCTTATTAACACTGAGTTAAGAGGAGAGAACAGGAGAGAGATAGAAGGGAAATGAAGGTGAGATGGACAGGACAAACATGTAGAAGTTAGAGGACATCCAGGTACAATTTGCCTACTAGATTAAATTGTAAGTTTTCTTTGCAGTAATCTAGTTTATACAGATAAATTGTGATGTTACATCAATGTTCTATAGACAACAAAACTTGAAAATTAAAAAAAAAATGTAGAAGAAAGCCAAAGTCTGGACATAGTCCGATTCTCAAACTAATTAAAGCATACGTGTTTTGACAACTTTTGTGTCCAATGTTAATTTCTACTAAAAACTCCTCTGGAAGTGATAAAATCCTGCAACAGTCTATTTTTAATTTTGGGAAAATGTTTCAAAATATTAGAAATGTTTGCTTTTGCACAGTTTGCCTTGTTGAGCTACTATTCATCTATGGCTTTTCTATTTCTGTCATGACTGGTAATTTGCAGCAACTTTGAAAACTTTAGAACATTGTACGTAAAAGATATGTGTATCAAAAACATTGCAATGATTCAACTAATGATAATAGTTTTAAATATGAAAGCCAAGTACTGGTTGAAATTACACTGCAAGCAAAATTGGGGGATGTAAAATGAAATAACAATAATCTAAAATGCAAATTGGCCAATCACTAGAATAAATATGTGTTGTTTGAATATGAAATGTTAACATCCTGGTAAGCAGCCAATTTCCATTTTATTAATATTCCACAGAAATGCAAGAAAATGGATTAATAATTATGCAGTTAATTATATCACTAGTCAGACTGTGACAGTCAAACTCAGACTATAAGACTTAACAATGCATGATAGAAATTATAGTTGATTAATGTTTTGTCATTTTTTTCAGGCTTTTCTCAGCTGCACTTTCTCAACAGCTTGGTAGCTATCTGGCTTGGATCCAAGTATGTAAAGAATTGCCTTTCCCCATCTATAGCTGCACGATCACCTTTACAGCCTTTAATCCATGTGCCACTCCCCATATGCGTTGTGGGAGATGGAACCAGAGAGAACAGCCCTTTCATAGAAAATGTTTTAACTAAAAAAGCAGCATGGCAAACACCACTGTTGCATAAAGATACAGTCATGCTAGTGCTTTTGCATCAAGACTCATGTGCCAGGGACGCAGATTATGTGTCTGTACTTTTTTAAAATATATTTTTTATTCAGGAACGATTTTTGCACATAATTTCTCAATCTGCCATTATAGAAATCCAAATAGGATTCAAGCTACACCTTTATTTATTTACTGACAAACTTTTACCTAGTGTTAAAAACATTTTCATCCTCTTTTGCCAGAAAAACTCTCAAAGCTGCTTAGATAAGATGAATAATGCACAAAATACAGTAGCCCTTGCTTGTAGTTTACATGATAGAAAAAAAAAGAATAGCGAAAGAAATGGGTGGAGGGGGAGAGTGAGCTTAAGAAGCTAATCCTTAAACCTGCAGAAGTTTTCCAAATGGCTAGTTTGAATTAAAGTATTCATGGTGAAGGAAAATGGAACTGATTTCTCAGCAAATCTAAAGGCGTAGTGCAGCCCCTCCACTTCTCCCTCTGCTGTAGCTTTATGCTATACCTTCCTTTCTTCATCTGTAAAGGTAAGGGAGAAAAGGTTCATTTCTTCTTTCTAAAGAAAGAAAAACAGATATTTTGACATCATTTCAGCCTGCCTTCAGTAGCCCATAGGATGCCCCATAGGATCCTTATTATTCCATAGGAACCCAAGAACTTTATTGGGGCAGGCAAATAAGAATATAGCCACCCGTATTACTTAGTCACCATTGATTTCTATCCATTACCACTTTCCCTTCTGTATCATTTGGATATTTTGACAAATCCAAGTATTTGAAGATACTGGAAAATGGATCATCATATAAACACTTTAATGATTAGGATGACCATACCACCATTTTAAAGCATATTTTAAAGAACCTTTAGGCCAGTATATTTTAAGATCAAATTCCTTGATATTTTATAACATAAAATGCAAGAATCCCTACCTAACGCAATAGGATCTCTCTCTCTCTCTCTCTCTCTCTGTTCTCAGCCACATTCTCCTACTTGCTGCTAATGAGTATGTCTGAAATAGATCCACTAGATAATACTGACATCACATGACCATGACCATGACAGATGTTCAGCCCAAGTTGACTTAGCCTGGCAACTAGGTTCAGGTGGGATTTGCAGGACACTGGACAGCTCCCAGCAAATAATATGCCTTGGCAGGGGAAGATGCACTGTCTTTCCCAGATTCTGCCACTTTCTGGAAACCAGAGAATCCTAAAGGCCTTTGTCCCCTCTTAACTCTCACCTTCCACACTGGCTGCATTGCTGCCTAGCACAGGGGAGTATGAAGTTCCTGATATAAAGAGGACTGGACTTTCAGGATCTTTGCTAATTCAGGGAGCTGTGTCATGGGTGTCCACAGAGGATCAAGGGAAGTCAGCACTCACATGATGCCATGGTGGCCTCTATTGGATATCTATGAATTTCACTTAAAGAGGTACTACCTAATGGTCTCAATATAGAACATGAGTTCAGTGCATCCTCAATTTATACATATCCATCTGTTTCCTCATTTTTTGTATCAGAATCTTGAGTGCTTTTCAGGATGAAATTTATGAGTAATGGTTTCAGCAACACAGAGAATAGTGTAAAGTAAGTCTGCCAGGAAGAGAAGGAGGAGGAGGATAAATTGTTCAGTAAACTAAAAAATATTGCCATTCAGCATGATATACCTTCTTTAAATAAATGCCTCATCCTCAGAAGTTATCATCCAAGATACAGAGAAAATATACAGTATGCATACACAACCACTTTCTAGAAAGTAACAGTCATATGCATATTTACTCAGTAGTGAGTTCACTGTGTTGGTTGGGCCTTACTTTCACCTTTAGCATGCTTTGCTACAGCTTCAGAATATGAGGAACAGACTTCACCTTTTTCACTACAGGTAGTCCTTGACTTATGACCACAATAGGGACTGAAAAAATTACCATTAAGCGGTGTGGTCTTTAAGCGAAGCATCATGTGACTGCAGCTAATTAGTTGCTTTTCAAAGTTGCCACATTCTATCTGACATCCTTTCAAAGCCAGGGAAGATACGTACCCAAATCTGAATGAACTATAGGGAAAGCTCAGCTGGCCAGGAAAATCAGATGGGTTCTGGAAGTGGGGTTGTGGCTTCTGCACTTTGATTTTTGGTCAGTAGTTGAAACTGGGAAATCTCCCACTTGTGAGATAGAAAGAAAGTAGGAATCAGGGAAAACCTTAGGCTTTGGAGGTTGGGCATTTACTAAAGCATAATTAAAGTATCAAGCCATATACATGCTTCCAAGTGTGCCCCAATGGTTTCAGGTGAATAAACTGCTTCACTAAATATGCAGTAGGATTCTATGCCAAAATTCTGAAATCTGTATTCTAAGAAAGATGAACGGCTCCAGCTCTCCATCCTCATTCTGCTATTCCTTCATCTTCTACTGTCCAAGTGGAAGGCACAGTCAAAACCACATGCACTTTAAAGCTTGTTAATTATTACACAAGGAAGTTATCACTACTCACTAGCTATGCATTTCTTGTTTTAAATGTCTTCCCCACCTTCCTGCTAATGTGAGAAAAAAGGCTATAATGCCCACCCAAGATGCTGGCCCATGTTATTCCAGGTTCATTCCCAAAGGAATCCTAGGCTGCCCAGGGCCTATTTTGTTCAGTGCCCTTCACCCTGTTTTTTTGAAACTGACACAACTGAGGAAAATCATTGTCACATCACTGGAGAGTACAGACAGGCAGCTTAGGAAGTTATGACTGTGAGAGCAGGTTTTCCCATCACATTTTCATATATACCACAATACCTTGTATGTGGGAGTCATTTCTAAATATGTAACTTATAGCTGCAGCCCATTCCAGATGCCACATATTTATTTACTAGTATTAAAACAAACAAGAACATTGAAATATGTCTCCATAGTTACTTTTCTGCTCCACCTATCTACTTACCTAATATCTGATATTTATCTTTCACTCATATATAAAAATAGTAGGGAAGAAGATCATAGGTGTTTTAAATGTGTTTGCATAGGTGTTTGAGGGGGGGGCAGAGACAGAGCATGTGTTGCAACTTTATGAAGCAAACTTCATCCCTCAATACCTGCATACAAAGTTGTGATGCAAGTATGAAAGGGCAAAACTTATGTCAAAATGTTGTGATGTATATTTTGGCGTTGTTGTGGTTACAAATGAGCACCTATGAACAGACATAATCTTTAAATAGGCAGGTTTTGAAAGATATTGAAATGCCAACAATGGAAAGTTTATCCAGCTACTACTTCTTTTCTGTGTATTTTTCTTCTTTCCAGAGCCATACTGGATATGTTTAATATGTTAGCTAGTACCTTGATAGCTTTCTTTTTAAGATCAGCAGCATTTCAGTGTCTAGAGATAGGCCCATACAATTGGTCTTCTCCATATCGTGGTAATAGCAGTGGGTCTCGAAATGTTACAATAGTTCCAATTGACTCATTCACTTTAATATTTATATCCATTCATGATTCCTCCTTTCAGAGTTAAGCTTAAACAATAACCATATTCACAAGTTCAAAATAAAAAGACAGGCTCTCTATCAAAAAGCATCCATGGGAAAAGTAAAATTTAAAACTGCATAAATGGAGGCAAACTCTTTGGTGTTGGCTCTTATTCAAGATACAACTTTAACTAATTCATAGTGTAGCAAACATTGCACAAAAGCTTGAAAACGTTATTATTCCAAAAATCTTTAAAACCTTTCAGCACATGTTGATCCCTTGTATAACCATGCTCTTATGAAACCTGCCATCATAAAAGCTGGAAGTTAGTGCATGCTGTGGATGTAACTCAGAAAGGCAAGCTAAAATGCTTTATATGGAATTGTGAACCTGGCTAGGATTTGATTAGAATGATTAAAATTGGGTTTGCTGATTAATTGTTGCTTATATAAATTAAGTCCTTAGAATTAATTTGACTTATTATTTCATGGACCCCTCTTGTCTTGCCATACCTTTCTTTCAGGATGTTTCTGTAACTTCCCATTCTAGCCTATAGCCCTGGAAGTGCCTAGTGTTTCCCATCCAAGTACTAACCACATCTTATTCTACTTTGCTTTCTAGACCACACAAGGTTGGCCCAGTTGCTGCCATCTGATGAGGTGCTGCCGCTTACACAAGCAGGAAAAACTGAGATCAGGTTCACTGTGAAGATTCCCTTTGAAATTGACTATAAAGCTCCAAATTCAAGCAGTGGAAAGTGGGTAAGGTAGTAGGGGTTTCTGCAAAGGGAAAATTAACTTACTTTCAAACCCTACAGAGTTCCAGCACTGCAAATGGCAAAATAAAAGTTTTGTAATTTGAATTGTTTTTCAACCTAGCCAGGAGAGAATTACGTTGGCTGTCCAAGGAGGACAACACTGTGGGAACACAGCAGCATTGCATCCACGTCAGATCAGTACAAACATCATAGGCCCCCACTTGCTTTGCTTGTGCCAGTCATTTTTATTTATTATTTTATTT